GAACACGATCAGAGATTTGTTGGTTCGTATTTGGGTCGTTTGGGCTCAAAATACTAATAAATTATATCTATCTATCTATCTACCTGCTTATATATATATATAAATTAATTACAAGACTACAAAGATTTATAATCAATTAAAAATATTAATTAAGAAAATAGAATAATCTAGATTCTAATGATGTTTTAATTTAAACAATAATTTTTACATCTTGCCCCAACCCTTAACATCTTATGGCTAAGTGATTAGGATTGTTAAAATGACTCTTTGTTCGTGAACAGTTTGTGTTTGGCTCGTTAAGTAAACGAGCCGAACATGAACACACTTTTTGAGCTCGAAATATAAACGAGCCGAACACGAGTTGAGCTTGGGCTTGTTCGTGTTCGGCTCGTTTACACCTCTACTTTCGCTTCAACCTCGCGAAAAAGTCACTATTAGAGGCTTCGTGTAGAGAGGTAGAAGCAAACAAGCGGTCGCGATTAGAGTCTTCGACTTCAAACAATAGGGAGGCAGAAGCAACTCGATGGTCCTCGTAAGCAGCAGTTTTGTCATTGCTTTCTCAACGGGTTCTAGCTGCGATATAGGAGACTTTGTGGAATCGTGACATAGGGAGGTAGGCCTGATGCAATTTTGTGTGCGGGATAGACGGTTTGCACTTCCTACAGGCTAAGGCAAAACGGATTGTACGAACTTGCAAGAAGGAAATCGCTTAAATCCTTGTGATTGAAGATGTCAGGAGACAGAAATAAGGCAGGAGATAAAGGATTGGAATTTTTGGGGAAGATAGATCTTGAATTTTTGAAGGTCCTGGTCGGGCTCATACATGGAGCTAGCATCTTGATGGGAGACACTACTTTAACACGTGTTTAAACGTAGGTAAAACTATATATCTCTCCTGTGGATCTGAAGTTCAATGGAATGACCACATATCTGAGTTAATTAAGATGGATCTAGGCTGCTCTGGTAGGGAAAAGACTAGAGAGACACTTGGCGTGGTCGATCCAAAGAGTGACAATGCTGAGGGAGATGAGTGGAGGACTACACATGCCTTGTTTTACACTTGGCTATTAAACTCGATGGTTCCATCAATTGCTTCATCAGCTGAGGACATTCAAAATGTGAGGGACATCTGGGCGAAGTTAAAGAAAATCTATGTTGGAGCTGAGAATCACATGAGAGTGTTCCAGATTCAGCATGAGATAGTGTTTGTGGCATAAGGTGATAGATCGATTCAGGAGTATTCCATAGATGTGCAGCGGCTATGGGCGGACCTTGATTACTTCTCATCGATGCCAAGTTATGGTGATCCAGAGTGCATGAAAGGGGAGATATTTGCACAAATGAGGATCATGCAGTTCTTGGCTCATCTGAACCCGACTTTTGATTATAGTAGATCAGTTCTCCTAGCTCATGCAACTATCCCTTCATTGGATGAGGTCATTGCTGCGATGATATAGAAAGAGAGTCGCATGAAGTTACACTCTGAGTCGAGTGGACTTCCAGGAGAGCGATCAACTTTGGCTGCCTTGAGCTTCAGGTATGATGGATGTCCAGGGGAGACTCGTAAATGCTAAAACTGTGGTGAATTTGGGCATCTGAGCAAAACTTATCCTAGGCTACCTAAGGAGAAAGAGACAGGTGGACATGGACAGGGTGGAGGCCGTGGCCGTGGTTATCTAAATGGTGGAAGAGAGAGCTATTGGACAAATTTGATGGAAGGAGGTAGACTTTGTATCAATGAGGATCGTGAGTGTCTGGAACAATTTAAGAGGAAGAGGAAGCAGAAAGCAACAGGAGATGTGGCTGAGGATACTTTATACCAGTCACCATCAAGGGGTAATATTGCCACTTATGCTCACTCTAAAAAAGTGCTTGTGATACACATGCTCTTGCCACTATTTCCACCACAGAATCATCTAAATGGATGGTATATTCTGGTTCTTCTCGACATGTGACAGGTACTGCCAAAAACTTTCTTCCTATACTCCCCTAGCAGTACCAGAGAGCATTAAGACTACTGATGGTACAACACAAACTGTAGTTGGTAAGAGTACAGTGAGGGGTACCAGTTATATGACTTTGTCCAGTATTTTGCATGCTCTTTTTTCAGTGAATCTTTTATCCATTAGGTGTCATTATTTTTCAACTAACAACTAAAATGTGTTATTTATTTTAACATTGCTAAGGGTGTATGTACAGAGAGGAAACAAAATGGAAAACGATGCCTATAATGCGACTTATGCCAACTAGTCCCTTGTCCTGGTTTTTTCTGACTGTTGAGATACCTACACCATCCACCTCCGACTTAAAACTCTCAGATGATAAATTCCTCTTTTTCCTAACCCCACAACTTTAAGGAGGACGTCTTGTAACAATGCGGGATATCCTCTCGATCGTTTTGGGTGGGAACATGATATTGCTAATTTTGTTTCATATTCTAACATATCACATTTATATGGAGCATTCATTGTATCTTTGGACACTGTCTCTATAACAAAGTGTCGACTGGTTGCTAAGGAGGATCCCAAGTGGAAAGCAGTTATGCATGAAGAGCTTAAGGATCTTGATAAAAACTGAACTTGGGAGATAGTGCCACTACCAGCGGGGGAAAAACATATGGGTGCAAGTGAATCTTTACAGTGAAGCAAACTCCAGAAGGGAAGATAGAACAATACAAAACACGATTGGTGGCGAAAGGGATAGTCAGAAATATGATAGCAAACTCCTGAAGAGAAGATAAAACCTTTGCACTAGTAGCAAAGATGAGCACACCAAAAACACTGGTTTCTCTATCAGTGAATGGTGAGTAGAGGTTACATCAAATTGATGTAAAGAATGAATTTCTTCATGGTGAGTTATTGTAGGAGGTATATATGGAGATATCACCTGAATTTAATACATTCCAGACAGTGGGCAAGGTGTGTAGGCTTAGGAAGTCACTCTATAGCTTGAAACAGTCTCCTTGTGCCTGGGTTGATAAATTTAGAAAGGCTATGATGGGCATGAGATATCAGCAAATTAATGTAGATGATACTGTGTTCTTTCAATAACATAGTCACACTACTATACTTGTTATGTATGTTGATGACATTATTGTCACCAGCGATGAAGAGACAGAGATTTGCCCAAAGGTAAGATTGGATAATGTATTTGAGGTGAAGTATCTTGGACACCTCAGATACTTTTTTGGTATTGAAGTGTCCCATGAACTTGAGGTCCCAAAGAAGTACATACTAGATCACCTGAAGGACTCAAATATGTTGTAGTGCAAACCTGCAGTCTCTCCAAGCAGAGTGCGGGGGTAGGAGAATCTATTAATCGTGAGAGGTACCAAAGATTGGTGGGCCAACTAATTTATCTATCACACAGTACCCGACATCTCTTTTGCAATAAGCTTGGTGAGCCCTTACATGCATGATCCAAGGAAGGGTCATAAGGATGCAGTGCATCAGATTCTGAGGTACTTGAAAAGTGCACCAGAGAAGGGGTTTATCATCATGAAAAATGGGCATGTAGACATTGAGGGATTTTGTTACGCTGACTGGGCTAGCTTTGCAGATGACAAAAGGTCCACCTCAGGACACTGCATGTTCGTAGTGGGCAACTTTGTCCCTTGGAAGACCAAG